AGTGGGGTGTGGTCATGCTATAATCCTTCATCCTCTATTTCTCCAACCCAACAGGAATCCGGGTACACACACTCATGTGCCCAGCATGTTTCAAGCTACTGGTGCCAGGATATGAGTTGTGGTCAGCCTTATGGGATGCAGCTCCCAATGCACAAAGTTTAAATGCTGCATTATGGGACTGGCCTGAAACTTTCATTTCTATATGAAGCTTTAAATTTGAAAATGTATTGTTTCCTTTAGAAGAGAGGGGAAAAAAATACTATCAAATAACAATTTGGTTTAACGAAAATAAGATACTGCTATTCTAGTACACTCATAACGAAATTCCAAATACTGAGAATTTAATTCTAAACTCTGAGCAGCTTTATTAGCACCCTTTACCACTACCAACTTCAATGACAGCTATCGGCAAAAGTACCTTAAGAGCATATCCCTTTCCTATGACAGACATGGTGAGTTTCTCATATTCGTACCCCAACACCAAGCCAAGCGTTCAGCACATATAGCTCAATAAATGTTAGTTTAGTGGAAATGAAGTGTAATTCAGGATGTGATTCGGTCAAATGTGTTAAGCCTACTGAAACTACCTAGCATAAAAATAGGTCTCCTGTGCTACATTTTATTTAGAGAACAAATGACAGCAGAAAATTGAACTAATTTTCTGAATGGAAAGATAAAGTAGGGTAACCACTAAAAAGCAGCTGGAAGAAATTCTTAAGAGAGATGTTAAGCAGAACCCCCTAGACATTGATGGTTATGAGATAAAAATAACAAGTAGACACACAAGAAGAGCAAAGCTGACTGAGTATAGGAGTGGAGGATGGCTCATCAAATGAGAAAGACTCATAAATAACAAAAAGAAGAACAGCATTCATTTGTGCTCAGGACCAAAGGAAGCAGGGTACATTTTCTAGTAGTGTTCTAGTCTGCTCTGTTATTCTAGTAACAGAAAAAACCCGAGAATGGAGGTTTACTTAGCTCATGGTTTTGAAGGTTGGGAAGGACAAAGGCCTGGTCTCTGGTGAGGCTTGTCTTGATGCATTACATGATAGAAGACATGAATGCATGCATCTGTTTCTGTGTGTCCCTCTATGAGCTCATTCCCTCTCCTTTATGACCCCACCAGCACTTAGCCATGGGGGTCCTACCCTAACAAATTGACTTGCAAATTCATACCAAAAGCCTTACCTTTCAACATCATAGATTAATTTTTCACCAACTTAATACCATCACACCCAAATCTCAACACATGAATCTTTAGGGAACATTCAAACCATAGCATCCCATTCCTGGCCCCTAACATCTATGTAAGTCTCATATTCAAAATCATCCCAACAGTCCCAATATTCTTAACCCTTTCCAACAACAACTCAAAAGTCCAAGGACTCATTTGAGACTAAAGACAAACTCCTTCTAGCTATGAGTCTATAAAGTCAAAGCAAATTATATGCCCCTAAAATACAATGGCAAAATAGCCATAGTGTAGAAATTCCCATTCTACATGAAGAAAGGAACAATTGGCTTCAAACAAGTCTAAAACTCAATAAGGCAGACATTCACTCTTGAAAGTTCAGAATGATCTCTTTCTCCATGTGCCAAATTCTGGACACATGGGTGCATGAATTGGGCCCTCAAAGCACCAGGCAACCTTGCCCCTATGGCTTTACTGGGCTCAGTCTACACTTGAGCTCTCTAAGTTTAAAGTCTCATGCCTGCTGTTCTCCCAGACTGATGCTTTGTGTTGTTATCTCTATGGTTCTGGTCTTGAGGGTGGAACTGCTCTCAAGGTTCTCCTAGGCAATACCATAGTGGAAACTCTCTGTAGTCACTCCACCCTGGTCACAGTCTCTGCCTAGGTTCTCATGTTGCCCTCCACACCTCCATAATTCTCCGGATTCTGCAAATCTGAAGAATTCCCTCCATGTGCATGCCACCAGTGTCTGCAGTATGCATCTGGAACAGGCTCTCTAACAGTCTGAAACACAGCCAGAACTGAGGAATGCTTTACTGGGATGTGGGAAGCAGACTCTCAAAACCGCTCAGGGCAATAAGCCCACCCTGAAACTACTCTACTCTCCTAGACCTTTGGGCCTATAGTGGAAGGGTAGTACTGAAGATCTCTGAAATACTCTAGGGCTTTCCTCCCATTGTCCTAAAAATTATCACCTGGATCCCTTTCTATGCCTGATAATTTCTTTAGCAACTGGTTGCTATAGTTTTCTGTCCTGAAATGCTCCTTTATTATTTACCACATGGCAGGCTATGAATTTCCCAAATGTCTCTACTCTGCTTCTCTTTTCATTATAAGTTCCATCTTTAGGTCATCTTCCCTTTCACTTTATCATACACTGCAAAAGCAACTACATAGCTCCTTCCATATTTTCCTTTAAATGTTCATTCACTAGATCTTTATTCTCTTCAATTCAGTACTCCATAAAGCCTTAAGGCATGGATACAATGCATAAAAACTTGAGAATGATATAACACAGATTACCTTTTCTCTAACTTCCTACAAGATATTTCTCACTTTCCTCTGAAACCTCTTCAGAATGGCCTTTACTTTCTTTATTTCTATCAACGTCTGATCATGATCATTTAATCAATCCCTGAAAAGTTCTGGCTCATTTCTAAACTATTCTCCTGAGCATCTACCAGACTCTAGGTTTATCCAAAAATAATCCTCCAAACTATTCCAATCTCTTCCCAAGACCAAGTTCCACAGCCATGTCCACAATTTCAGATATTCATTATTAGCAGTAATACCACTCCCAGCACCAGTTTTCTGTTCTAGTCCATTTTGTTGCTAATAAATAGAAAATTTCTGAAACTGAACAATGAAAGAGAATAGAGGTTGATTGAGCTCACTCTGAAGAGTCCAGAAGCCTGGGACCAGCATCTGATATAAATCATCTTACTGTATTACAAGATGGTAAAGACAGAAGTGCATGCAACTGCGTCTCTTATAGTCTCATTCCTTTTCCTTATAAGCCCACCAAGGGTCAGTCATGAGGGTTCTAGCCTGATGATCTTAATCCTAATCTCCTTCCAAAACTGCCACATTTAAGGCCATATTCAGATTAAGATTTTTGTCCTTTTAATCCCATTACAATCAAATCTCAACACATGACTTCTGGGGGGACTTTCAAACCATAGTAAGTGGTAATAGCTCTAAACCAGGAATTATGTGGATAATATGTTAATTCTTTAGTAATCATATCTGTGATCTTTTCTCCAATATCTGAAGCTATATGTTTTTTAAGATGTGGAGATTTTATCTTGTCTAAAGTTAAGTAGGTATCCATTTCCTACCTAGTACAATATCCGATACTTGATAGAATAAGGATAGATAATGGATGGGTAATAAATGAGATGTTCCATCAAATTAATGAATTTGTTAACTTTTTAAAAATCTTTATTCCATCTAGCATGTAGATACGTGCATATAATCACTTATATTTTTTTCTCTTTAGTATTTTTTATTAACTTGATACTCTGAAATCTAGCTTTTTTTACTCTATTTTTACAGATCTGTGATAACCATTTGCTTTTACCCTTGTCCATAAGTCCTTCTTGTAACATCTTGTATACACACCTTTATATGTACTCCTAGCAGAAGTCTCCCACTGCAGCCACACTTATCCTCGTAGTTGTTCCTCGTATTTATCTTCACTGTGATTATTCATGTTTCTATCATCAAAACCACCACCTGAGACCAGATGTTAGCACAGTGATAATCAACTAGACCCACATGGGAAAGATCCTGGGTTCCATCTGGGACTTCTTTGAACATGCTAGGCATGTGCATGCATGTCTGTGGTCCAGGCTGACTGAGAATGGAGGTGGATTGCAGAGTGGAGACCCTGTTGGAGATGAATCTTTCTCTCTTTCTCTCTCTCTACCTCTCGAAGAAGAAGAAGAAGAGGAGGAAGAAGAAGAAGAAGAAGAAGAAGAAGAAGAAGAAGAAGAAGAAGAAGAAGAAGAAGAAGAAGATATAGAGAGACTTTAAAAACAAAACCAAAAACCCAGTCCACCAACTTGTATCCAAGGGATCAACCTTCCTTTTCTCCAAGTTTTAGACAGCAAATTTCCTATAATGTATAGCCAACTATAATTTGCGTTTTCATTTTTAGTTTTCTGCTGTCCCATCTCCCAAAGTTGTCACCATTTGTCATCACTAACAAGATTTTCTTCCTTATTTAGAATTAACACCAGAATTAAAATGCTTTCATTGCTTTCTCTTTTTCTGGGATATAAAATTGTTAGCAAGGCAAGCAGAGAATATATTAATAGTTCTGCTTTACAGTAAGGTGTCCCTTCTAGGAACCATCTGGTTAACCTAATTTCTCCAGTATTATTACCACAACCTGACTTGACATCTATATTCTAATTTGAATTAGAAGTCTGTTGTCCATGTTCCTGATTTGGTGAGAGATCTCTCCTATGTTCTCCAATACACCACTTCTGATTCTGCTTTTATTATTAGACTTGCCAGTCCCACACAACTCTACATCCCCTCTGTTAGAATTCCCATGTCAGTAATATAAACTTTCTAATTTTTCCTTGCATAAGTTTTCTTATCTACTAGAAATAATATACTTACTCAATTACCTATCTTAACTCGTGACCATAAAATTGTTTTAAAAGAAGCTCATTTCAGTGTAACCATTGACAGAATTTTTCATGTAGAAGTTTCATGAAAGGTTGCAGTAATACCATAATTAGGATCTTTTTAAAACATAAAGGTTGATTTATGTACAATACATTAGAACCGTAGGTATGTTTCATGACTTTTAAAAGTATATAGCCAGAAATCTTAAATCTTGGTCATCATAAAAACCTTGAAACTTAACAATAAGGCAATGAGGTCATTTCATTCCTTCATGGGTAAGAAAAGGAAGGACAATGACTACTCAGCCAAACTTAAAAACAACTTTTCTATTATTTTACTCATTCATCAAATTGACAATATCTAAAACCTGGAATGATCCCAGGGAACTTACCAGAGTATTACCATCAGTAGCCATCTGTGATATCAAGTTGCTAGAAGCAAATGCTACAACAGAAAAAAAGATTTTCAGTTAAAAATGGGATTAATGTATTCATAAAAACATTATTGGGGGAGGCAGGAGAAAGAGGTATTTCTATTGCAATGATGAAATTCACAATAAACATAATTCATTAGATAGCTTTTTATTGCAGAACTCAGTGAGCTAATTGTTTAGAGTTCATAAAATAAGCCAGACTTTCATCTATACATGTCAGTATTCCTTTTTATTTTTTTGGAGAGGTTTTTACTATAGGGCTTGTGCACTCGCCAGAAAGACAGAGAGAGACAGAGAGATAGAAGGTGAGAAATCACCCCCCAGGGGGGATGGCCACACCACAATCCCTTCTCCTCCGTTCTCCTCTTGGGATCTTGGGCACACATGCACATGTGCCTGGCATGAGTTTAAGGCACTGGGTCCAGGACTGGAACCACAGTCAACTACATGGGAGTCAAGCAACATAGCCATTACACCAACTGCTGGTCCCCTGTCAGTATTCTTTTTAAGTCCAGAAACAAGATATGAATTTGATTTACTCACTAAATATTGTTATATATATATATAGATATATAGATATATAGATATATATATATATAGATAGATAGATAGATAGATAGATAGATAGATAGATAGATAGATAGATAAAGTGAAAATCTTTTCCTCTTCATGGTGAACATGCAATAAAGATGTGGAAAAATTTCTTCATTATTACTATCCAATTTCAAATATGTAACTAACCCCCCACCCCTGCCTCAAAGTCCCAACATTTTTTTTTCCAGAGAGCACATACCCTTCAGAGAGAGAAGGAGAAGGAGAGCAAGCACCCCCAAATGGGGCATGGTCACACCACAGCCATTTTTCTTCTATTTCCCCTTCCCATCAGGATTGGGGCATGCATGCCTACCCAGCATAGTTTTCAAGTCACCAGGGCTGGGACTCAAATCGTGGTCAGCCATGTGGGATTTGGCTTCCCATGCAAAGGGCTTAATCACTACATTACAGGGCCAATGCCAAAGTCCCAAGTATGATATCAAGCTACACTCCTCTTGCTGTAAAATACTTAGTAGTAATTACCTGTGAAACATGACACTCTGTGGTTTCAAGAAAAGCAACTGAAAACAAAAGGAAAAAAGTCCTTTTATTTTCAGACTTTGATAAACAAGAAACTTGTTAAAGATTCAAAAACCACTGAAACTGTCTCCAAAGCAAAAAGCTTTTCAGTTCTTCCCAGGGACACCACAAGTAGAGGCCCATGCCTCTTTGAATTTATTTTGTGTAGTATTGGTCTCCAAATTTTGAAGCCTGAATACCTGTTTTCAATGTCAAAATACTGTGCTTATATATATATATAACCTCCTTATGGGGCATGGTCATACTGTAATCTTTTTTCTTCCAATTTTTTTCCAAAAATTTCATTCAAAATTTTCCCCATTTAATTTTTGGTATGCACACACGTATATGCCTGGCATATTTTTCAAGCTGCCAGGCAAGATTCGAATCACTGTTAGCCATGTGTGATTCAGCTCCCTATGGACTGCACTTTACCACCCTATGGGGTTTGGGGTCAGCACCTAACACACTTACTTCAAAACAAACAGAAAACACGAAAACTAAACTGAAAAATGAAATCTCAAGCTTGTGAAAAATATTTTCAACATACTTTTAACATATTAAAATCAAAACTTCAGGGGCCAACAGGTGGCATAGTGGTTAAGGTGCTAGACATGGCCAACCATGGGTCAAGTCCAGACCTGGTAGCTTGAAAATCATGCTGGGCATGTGTGCGTGTGTGCCCAAAATACCAGGAGGAGAAAGAGCAGGGATTGTGCCACGGCCTTTCCCTCTGTGGCTGATTTCTCACTTTCCATTTCATTGTGTCACTCTGTCTCTCTGGTGAGCCCATGTGTTCTATGGTAAAAACCTTTAAAAAATTACAAAATCAAAAACTAAAAATTTAAATGTCTACTATTTAACCTCTTTAATGATAAAATAAGGGCAAAATAAAACATCTTAATTCTATTTTTAATCTTCAAGATTGGCGAAAAGAAAATAAATAAATCTAAGTAATAGAAGCCAGGTTTGGTAGAAGTGGAGTTGTGTTGGAAAGAATATCCTTATATACTGGGAGGTCAAATCATTCTATCCTTGCTGGAGTGTAATTTGTCAAGATGATGAAGGTGACAATGACAGTGAGAATTAGCATATACTCAGCCTTTACATGCGTCATGAACTGTGCTAACTACTACCATACCAAACACACAAAACATTTCATAATATATATGAATAAGAATGTAAGGCCAGCCAGTGGCATGTGGGTTAAGGTGTCTGGATCCCACATGGCCAACTGAGTGGTTCGAGTCCCAGGCCCAGTGACTAGAAAGACACACCAGGTGTGTATGTATGTGTATGCTCAAAATCCTGAGAGAAAAATGGAAGACAAGGGATTATGGCATAGCCATTCCCCACAGGGGGTAATTTTTCTCTCTCTCCCCACATGACCTGAAATAAAATAATTTAAGTTAAAAATATGTACAGCATGATTTCGTTTATTTTTTGTCATAAAAATATAGGTTTAGGGACCAGTAGATGGCATAATGGTTATGTCAGTGGACTCCCACATAGTCTATCGTAGTTCAAGTACTGGACCCGGCGGCTTAAAACTCATGCCAGGCATGTGTGCATGTGTGCCCAAAATCCTGAGAGGAGAATGGAAGAGAAGGAATTGTGCCATGGCCACTTCCACTGGAGGAGGGTGATTTCTCACTTTCTCTCTCTTAGTCTGTCTCTGGAGAGAACATGCACCCTATAGCAAAAATCTCTCTAAAAAAAATACATAGATATAGATTTATACACAGGCACACTCATACATCATCACTAAAAAGTATGAACGTATTTCCAAAAGTACACAGTAACTGTCTATGGAATTTGGAATAACCAGGGATGTATTTTCTATTCCTCTATACATTTTCTATAATAAGCATTTGTAAATAAAAATGCTACAACTATTGTATTGACTTTCAATAGCACTGTATTTTTAGCATCTATTGTTTAGAAGAATACATAATGAGCAAAAAACTCTTTGAATTTAGCAGCGCTTTCAGATAAAACATAAATCTGAGAGCTCTTCAAAGAGTTTATAGAAAATATAGATAATGAAAAAATTATGCTTGGGTTTCAAAAGCTCCCTTATCTATTGTTGCAGTTAAGAATAAAACATGGGGCTATAGACTGGCTCAGCCATTAGCTGTGATGCTCTGCAGGGCTGACCCACATGAAAGGTTTCAGGTTCATGTCCTGAGTCCTCCCTGAGTGACATCAGGCACCTGGGTGCCCATGATCCTGGGTTGGCTGAGCAAGACCCTGTCAGAGGCATGTTCGCCTCTTCACCTTTCTTGTGAAATAAGCAAACTTTAAAAATAAATAAAAGAAGAAAAGCTTTGGATTGGAGTAGACTGGACTTCAATCCCAGTTTGGAGACTTACTAATTGTATGACACCTTGGGTATGTAGCTTCTATTTGGGGGACTTGAACTCCCAACTGTGAAATTAGGATAATAACCAGATTTCTTTCTTATGATTGGGTTAGAATCAAATGAGGAACTACTTCTGTGATGCTCATAGCAGGGCCTTAAACAGTTAATTCTCAATAAATTATTTTATTATCACAAACTATATTCATTCATTAAGCATTCATTAGAGATTAAAAATTATACACACACACACACATATATATTTTTTTTCTTAAAACAGTTTATCAGGCATTGCTGTGATACATTCCTTGACTCTATCCACATGGCTATTGGTGCCCTTCTATGTAATAATACAATACTAAATTGATCGTATGTATTAAGCAGTTGCTATGTGCCAGGCCCATTGATGACTGTCATGTTGTCATGTATTATGTTACATAATTGTCGGAGACACTTATGAATAATGGCCTATGATTAGCTACATTTCTTTTTCTTTTCTTTTTTTTTTTTTTTTTTTTTTTTTTTTTTTTTTTTTTTTTTGCTATAGGGCACTTGTGCTCGCCACAAAAACAGAGACAAAGGACAAAGAGACAAAAAGGGAGCAATCACCCTCCACCAAGGGGGGGGGGGGATGGCCACCCCATGATCCCTTCTCCTTCATTTTCCTCTCAGGACTTTGTGTGCACACACACACATGCATTCGGCATAAGTTTTAAGCCAGGTCCCGGGACCCAAACCACAGTCAACTACATGGGAGTCCAGCAATGTAACCATTACGCCATCTACTGATCTCAGCTCCATTTCTTAGATGAGGAAATTCAAGCAATTTGGATGAGGAATTAGTAAATGAGTATGTCCAAATTCTGACCCAGGCTCAAAGCCTACTCTCTTCATCAACACAGTCCATCCTGGCTCTCCTTTTCCCCCACAAAACATACATTGTTCATAAATAACTTCAGGATGGTCTGTGGCATTGTGCCATAATCCTGTGGGCATTTCTGCCTCCCAGGAGGACAATGAAAATGTTAAAGGCAGTGACCAAGAACTTATTCTCTCCACTGCCTGGCCCAGTGAAGGGCACAGTTAGGAAAAGTTGATAAAATGATCTTCTAATCTAATTTTTCATACTTTCAAATTATTTTATTTCAGTAGAATTCTGAATCTGTTCACTTGGCAGATTTCTAGAAGTAAAACAAACATAGAATTAGCAGAAGATAAAGGAACACAAAGGGAAAAAATTCACCTCTAAATCTTTTTCTAGGTATGAAGTTTGTTGACTATACACTGCTCCAGGCACTGATATTAAGCCTCCCTTGGATCCTGAGAATTCTCTTTCTGGTACACATCTCATGTCATCTCCTCACATCTTACCTAACTCTTAAAGATGTCTACTCAGTCTAAAACCATTGCCACCTCTCTCTTAGACAATTGCAATAGGATCCTAGTGAATGCCCCAGCTCATTGTCTGACCCAGAGGGATGCTTTTTTCAGTGCACACCTGTTTATCACTTTCCTTAAATCCCTACAATGGGCATTGAT